CTATATCTCAAAAACGTACTAAGTAAACGGGATCGGGTTCTCTAAGTAAAAATGTTCAGGACCCCCAAAAACCTCATGAAAACTAAGATCGGCCCTATTGGGCCCTTATATTAGCTCTATAATATATTATATAAAAAAAAAAATAATTCTCTAATTTCTAACCTAACCCTAACAAATCTTAGGGCTGATGATAATCACCACTGGCGATAAGTAGTAATTTTGCTAAATTTATATATAAAATCAAGATATAGTTTTTTTTTTTAGAATTTAAATAAATATAATTTAAATATGATAGTTTAATTTTAAAATGAAATATTGTACAATGCAAAAAGTAGACAAGTCACCGAAAAATAGTCTTAGAATATAGCTTTTAATAAACAAGTTTTAGAGGTTAAATAGAAACGCTCATTTCATTTTAATCAGATTTCATTATGATATTTGACATTTATTTTCGCAACGGCGGGTAAATTCTCGGTTATATGAGGGACCTTCAGGCCCTCATATAGCCGGAAATTTACCATTTCCCCGCAGTGGTGTTATTCTTCATGCATGTCCGTAATCTGTGACAGGTTAAGCCACTAATTTAAATCACCGCCGATTATATTCCCAGCGTAAGGCTTGACTGTTTCTGAAGTTAGAATTTAAAAACTTATAAACTGAAAAGTTGCCTTTTGATATTAACTAAACAAATATTTATATAAAAACAATAAAAAAATTTTAATTTTAAAAATAAAATAAAATAACAATACCACATAAATATCCTCTAGTATATTATAATTACTTTAAGCAAAGCAAACAATATGTAGTTTCTTTAACCGTGCTAGTTGTTCAACATATTCTTACTTAAATGGTACTTTTTTACTTAATTTTACCTTTTTTGAATGAAGATAACTAATTCAAAAGAGCCGAATTCTTCTTCCTCCATATTATTTATTCATTAACTCATGTTTTCGCAGCACTTTTGATTGAACAGTCGTGACTAAAATCATAAAGAAAAGTATTCGGAAGATTTTATTTTTGTTACATTATACTGATCTTTGAGTTTATCTAACACGATTCGTAATATTGGCCTAAAATTTTGACAGTTTAAATTAATAACTAAAAACGAAGTGATGCCGGAAATATCGTTCTCATCCATTTCTTAATTCTGATTTATAAATTTTTTTAAAAAATATATCCAAATTTGTATAACCTGCAAGGCATTTGATGGACCTTTCATATAAAAAAAAAAATTATTATAAATTTTATTAAAAAAGTTGTTCTCTTTTAAGTCATATTAGAAGTCGATAGGGTTATTTAAATTTTTAATTTAGATAAAATAATTAATTTATAAAATTGAAAAAAACAATTATTTAAATATGATCAAATCGTTTTTTATATATTCAACTTCGTAATAATAAGAACAGGTGGAAACGTCCAAATATAGATATGATTTTCACTCTCCGTTACACAGATCACTCATTATATCGACCAGTCAAAATATCACTACGGGATTTGTCAACCAATCAAATTGCGAAATTTACAAAAAGACGAAACCGTGGGATTCAAGGGGATTCAAAAAATATGTTGTAAAGCAAAGTGAGAGCTTCATGTTTGTTTAATCATTTTCAATATTCATAGAAAAGATAAGTCAAACGAGCCTTCCAAAAAAGTATTGTAAAATAATATAAAAAAAATTTATGACGTTAGTTCAACGTTTCCTCCTGTTCAATTTGCGTAGTTCTATTTTAGGATTGACTTTTTCAACAGCAATATCACAATTTTATCCGCTGTTTTTGCTGACAACAGAACCTAAAGATGTTGATAAAGCCTGCAAACTTTATTTAGATCTCTTAACAAGTGATAGATGACTTAAATGTAAATAGAATTTAGAAAATGTAATAAAATTCAAATAATATATATAAAACATTGTTAGTTAATATTGGTAACAGTAATACTACCCTGTACTAGTGATTATGCATTATATCTGCTAAAAATACTATTATTTAATAAATTACTATCTAATGTTGTTCTCAAGCAGCTTCCTCAATGTGATTTACTAGTGATCGAGTTGTTGCTCAATAATTGAAATGATCATTATACCATTTTTGAATTTTAAATTTTAGCCAATCAAAGTAACTCTATGATAAAAAAAGATAGTTGTCAGGTCCAGGTTTTTTTTTGATTTAAATGACTATTACGATGAACCATAGATAGAAGCGCTTGAGAACAATCTAAACGTATATTTCTTAGTAGAATTACTTAGTAAGCTCTGAATTAATTTAGTTAATGGGCGACCTATATAAATTGCTTCTGGGTGATGTCTATAAGCTTTTACTCGATTATTTCTTTTCTTTTTAATTCCGCTGATTCAATGATCTTTTTATTTTCTTCAGATTTACTATGTCTATGATTGTGATCATAAAAACATTGACAGACCTCTTCAGCAGTTGGTCTTTTTTGCGGATTAGAATCCCAGCATTTTTTCATTAATTCATAATAAAAATTGGGTGTATCTTCAGTAATTTCAGGTCTTACTCCATTTAAGATATCTACTATAAAATCAATATTATGTGGTCTATCATAGAATGGTTTTTTACCAGAAGTATATTCCCACATAATCATGCCGAAACTATAAATGTCAGATTTTTTTGTATAGAACTTTCCAGATAGCACCTCAGGTGCTGTATATGGAATAACGCCATAAACATTCTCCGAGTTATTAAATTCATTAGAAGGTTGGCATAATCCAAAATCACCTATCAAAGTAGCAATACTATTTTTTGATATTTTATTTATTAAAATGTTGCCACTGTGTAAATCATGATGAATAAAATTACTAGAATGAAGTTGCATTAATCTATATTATCAAAAAAAGAATATAATTTATTATTTTAATAATATTTATATAAACAATTAAAATTAAAACTTACCCTGTTGAAATGTTATGGAGTGAATGTATTTTATCATTCCAAGTAAATTTTTAATAAATAATTATGTAAATCTCCCTCGCTGGCATATTCTATCACCATCAAATATTCTTTTGTATTTGGTCTTTGTGTAATTCCAAAACATTTAATCAAGAAATAATCATAAGTATCATAAGTATCTTTAACTTCATAATATGGTTTTAGCTAAAGATTATTAAAAGCAAATAAATAAATAAATAACAACAATGTATACAATATAATAAATATAATTTTATTTACCTCCTTTAAAATTGCTGAAACATCGCAATCTAAACTTTTCAATACCACTATTGTTCTAATGTGCGCTCCAAACAAACACATAGCTTTACTCCAAGTTGCTTTGTAAACTACTCCAAAACCTCCTTTACCTAAATATTCAATATCTTCAAACTCATCAAAAGGAATCCACCTAGTCACAGGGTTATCTACACATTTGCATTTATAAAGAAACTCGGCTATTCCTTTATTACCGCAAATGTTATGCAATTTCTCAATTTCTTCAATCTCTTTTTCCCTCATGAAATTAGACAAACTGGTACTAAATACTTTTGCACAAACCCAAATATTATTCGCAATACAAATATTACATCGACCACAATCATCGGGACATTTATTAGATGTAGCATATGAGATATAGTTGGAATTTGATTTTCCCATTTTTAAAGTAATCTAGGTATTTTTTAAAAGAATTCTAATTTTGCAAATTTAAGGATAATTAGATACAGGTAAAACAAAGTTTATAAGTGAATGTCAAATAGTTTGGGTTCGCTTGAAACGTTTTTTTCTATCACAGTGGATTTTTTCATTATCCAAAAAAAAAACAATTCCTTCTCAATAGTAAGGATAAAAAGGATAATGATTAACAATCTTTCTACTTGATATTTATATACTTGAACTTTAAAGTTGGTATCATTATGAAAAAGGACTTTTTGTTTCATCTTTCCGATGTGTAAACAAATAAATAATTTAGAGGTTACATTTGGTGATTAAATTTCATTACACAATCGTAATTGCAATGGTTGTCGTTATTATAATCAGCGACATTAGATATTTGTTTTTGTCGTACATTTCATTCTTACATAAATTACATAAAGGATATGAGATTATCTAACATAATGAAATTATTGCACCATTGTAATAAACATTGAAGTAAAAATTTAGGGTTATCTAAACTTTCTACAAATCGCAGATATTGTTGTATTGTGTGATACATAATTAATAAGTAATAGTTATATCCTGGGCAGTTGGGTATAAGCGGGGCTGAAAGTCCCGTTTTTTCTGTACTTGGTTAACGGATGTGTCCGATTCTTTATATACACTAAAAGGATGCATATATGCGTGTGAACTTTCAAATCCTTGAATATATGGGCTAAGTGCTGGAAAAAGGGACCAAATTGACAATTTTTTCAAAAGCTATTTTTTTACATAAATTGATTTAGAATAAGATTAAGATCATTTCTTATTTAAGACACAAAAGTAGTTGTATTAATAAAATTTTGCTATATTGTTCTTTAAAGTTTGCATTTTCTTATGATTTGAGTGTCGACAAGCGAAAACAGGGAATTGTGAATTTTCCGAAATTAATTTTACAAATCAAACCCCGAAAAATGTAATTTAACACACCATATAATTTATGTTGTGTTAATTTAAATTCATCAGTGATCAGATCAGTAAGCGGAATTTCCAAAAATCAAGAATTCCCTGTTTTCGCTTGTCGACACTCATTTATTATAAGATCAACAACATAAAAATTGATCTTTTGTTTTGTCAATTTGGTCCCTTTTCTCAGCACCTAGCCCATATATATGTTGTGCCTCATATCCATTCCCGCGTCAGATCGAAGATGATGCACCTCAGATGCCGATCGTCAGGTGAGGTGCGTTACTTCTAGATCGGTCATCTGAGGTGTCTCAAACCGTAATATGACGCAGATAATCATTTAACAATACTGATTAAAAAAATTACGATATTTATCATACAAAAAATAAAAATTTGCAATTCTATTATTAATGTATAATCAATACGTTGTAAATTATAGTAAATGATCGCAAGAACATTTCAAAGATGTATTCAAGCAAATGAACATAATTTGGTCGGAGTCAAATGGGCATATAAGTCTTTTGCCTGGGCTTTGTTTATTTTTTTGCCTCTTGGCTTTACAAAAAAAAAAAAAAACTTTTCTTAGACTCATTGAGTCATTTTACTTTCATTAAATATGGAATACACCTTCATTAATAGAAACACCTTAGAACAAATTGTGAATAATTATATACTTAACCTTCCTGAATCAAAGTGCGAAAAAGCTTTAATCAACTATGAGCTTTTAGTGAAGATAAATCTATTTTGCTAAACCCCAAAGATCATACATTATATAATAAGAACATTTGCAGCTGGGCCAAGAGGAAATTTCAGCTTGAAGAGATCATACCTGGTGATCATAGAGTAATTGAAAAAGAGATGGGTAACCCTGTTTTAGTAAAGGAGAAATTTTATAAAGTACTTTGTCAAGTTCATGGTAAGATTTTGCAACATGGAGAACAAAAACAAACATGGAAGTTTGTACATGAAAGGTGAAGCTGGATCAAGCAGGACATTATTGAAAAGTTTGTCAATAATTGCACTGTGTATACCATTTGTAAGCCTGTGTTTCATCCTTTAGCAGCTAAGCCAATAATAGCTAATAATTTTTTATTACACATCCAGGTAATTCATTATTTGCTTTGAATAATTTATATTTTTATTTTATATTTACAGTATAATTAAATATATATTTTTTTACAGATGAATCTAATCAATCTATCTTTTGATCTGGATAAAGAATTTAAGTACATTTGTCACTTGAAGGATCACTTTACCAGGTTTTCCTGAGCAAAGGCTCTTACTTCTAAAAGGGCAATCAAGGTTGCAGTATACCTATTTGAACCTTTTCATTCACTTGGATTATCACTGATGATTTTACAGTCAGATAATGGAAAGGAGTTTGTTGCTCTGGTTATTAAGAAACTGATTGAGTTATAGCCATCTATAACTATAATAAATGGAAGACCTCACCACTCCCAATCACAAGAGCTTGTTGAATGAGCAAATGAGATCTTGTAGCAAAAATTGGAAAAGTGGCAAGAAAATACTAGTCGTAAGGATTAGTCATTTGGCTTAAAATTTGTTGTTATGGCAATGAATAATTCATGGTGTTGCTCTTATAAAAAAACACTATTTGAACTTGTTTACAGCTGTAAGCCACATGGAAGCAGTATCTTGGTGAATAAATTATATGAAAAAAAATTTATAATGAAGAGGAGATTCCAAATACAGTTTAGATCGAAACTGATATATTAAATTTGGATAATGATATGGGGATCTGTTAAAGCCAGTTCGATTACAAGATTTTGACTAATAAAAATTATGAATTTTTGTTTACACAGATTATCTTGACGAAGCAAAAAAAAAAAGAAATGCGAAAAATACATGAAACGAATGTTTAAACTTATCTTTATGCATTAAGAAAAAATATTTGACAGACGATTTTATCTATAAAAGCTCATCTAAACCTAGCCTATACAGACTTTAATCTGACTCTAACCTTAATGTAATTAAATTTGTAATCGAACCTGGCTTTAACAGTTCTCGATGATATGGAAGGCATGTTTTTTTTATTTATTAATTTACTTGTTTATTCATATATTACTTTTTTAATAATAATAATCTTTTAGATCAAGATCCAAACGAATCTAATGATTATGATAATTTTTTGGACAATGTTGATGCTGATGCCAACATTGATGCCAATGCTGATGCTAACACCAACGTCGATGCCAATGTTGATGCCAACACCAATGTCGATGCCAATTCTGATGCCAATACCAACATTGACACCAATGCTGATGCCAACACCAATGTCAATACTATTTTTGATATTGATGCTGATGTTGATAACAATACCAACACCAACTTTGATGCCAACACTATTTTTGATATTGATGCTAATATCAATACTGATGCCAATAACAATAGTAATAAATAACTTAAATTTGGTTTTGTTTATTATATAATAGAATTTAATTCTTCAAACTAACTTCTGAATTTAGTTCTAGCTGATATCACAAAGCAAGACTCCAATATTATGTGACATGAAATTCTATGAACTAGTGCTCGAAAAGAACTTCAACAATATACAGAAAAGATGACTAAGCAGATGTTAAAAAAAAGAAAATTAACTAATTTTAAGGTTGGGAATCTTGTTCGGTTAAGCATTTCTAAGATAGATCGGTTTGCTATTGACTGTCCCTCTTTGCTCTGTAAAATTTTAGAAAAAACTGGTAAGCAACAATTTTAGCTAGAATATAAGTTTGGCACAATCAATATATGTTACTCTTCTGGTGAACTCGAAGAACTTGAAACTTCAACTTACCCTGACTTGATACAATTTCACCAGTCAAATATCTGCTAGAGAGGCATCACATCTTCAAAGTGTTGAAATAGTATCGAGCTCTGTTTGCAGTTATAAAGGTTCATGTGATATGAATAGGTGTAGATGTAGAAAGGTCCAAGGAAAATGCACAAGCCGATGTCATAGTGGGCAGTCCTGTTTGAATAAAATCAGTGTTTCATTTTTAATTTAATATGTAAAACTATCCCTTAAACTGTAGGCAATTCCAGGCAAATTTGCCTGGAAAATTGCTATAAATTTGCTTATGATTTACTTTT